GTGTGTGTGTGTGTGTGTGTGTGTGTGTGTGTGTGAGTGTGTGTGAGTGTGTATATATATCACTGAGACACTATTATAGTTTTTGTTAATATTTTGAATATTTATTTTTATATTTTTAATTTTTATATTTTCAGTTTTATATTTCTGTTTGAGTTTGTTATTTTAGTACATTAAGTACAATTAAATGAAAATAAGAAATGCTGCCTTCTAAAGTAGTTTTTTAATATATTTTTGACATTTATTTTATTTAAAAATAAGTTTTTTATGGTTTTACTTTTAGTTATACACATATACATAAAATTTTGTTTAGTGCAGTTAAATCAATAAGATTACTAAATATGAATTGTCTTTTAAACCCCAACTGAGCAGGCTAAAGGCAACAGTGGCAAGAAACTACTTTTGGAACAGGCTTATATATTATTTTATGCACAGAAAATGAGCATGCGTGTCTCCAACCGTCCGTCTCTCTGTCCTCAGGTTCTCCATCAACATCGGTCACGACGCCGACACAGTCGCCCTTCACTTCAACCCTCGCTTTAACTCGATGGGTGACAGTAACGTCATCGTGTGCAACTCCAACCAGGGCGGCTGGGGCGCCGAACAGCGCGAACCCTGCTTCCCCTTTCAACAGGGCGGAGAGTTCAAGGTGAGCACCGGTGACCTCTGACCTTTGACCTCGCCCACACCGCGAACAACTCTAACCAGCAGCACGGTCATGCATTGATGAGTAATCAAAAGCATTTAACAACCACATGTTAATCTAGCAGTGTTCTCTTTATTTGACCTTTTTGTGCTTCACAAGATTCTTTACTTTCATCTTTCTGGACTCCTGACATTTAAAAAGTCTAAATCTGGCATCCACACTCTTTGCCGTCGTCATTTATGCTGCTTCAGATCAAGCTTCATTCAGTGTTAAACCTCAGTTAGTCCTTTTTCTGTGTTCTTTGACCAGTTCCCCAGTGATTCCTGTATCTAGGTTAGTTGCCCGGCTTTAGTCTTTTGACAGATTACAGTAACTCAGACACAAAGAGTCATAAAGCGTCACCCTTTAAGCAATAAACCGCCCACCGCTCTGAGGTTTGAGGATGAATTATGCTGCAATCACACACTTACAACAGCTTCTCATGTACTGTCTTAAAATTCGCATTTAAAAATTTCACTGCATTAGATCATGTGTCATTTACTATAATGAATGATGTACAAATCGCACAATTCTGACTTTTTTCTTGCAATTCAGAGTTTATCTCACAATTTTGCGGAAAAAAGTCAAAGTACTTTATATGTGTGTGTGTGTGTGTGTGTGTGTGTGTGTGTGTGTATATATATATATATATATATATATTTTTTTTTTAGGAATGGAATTCTGATAATAAAAAAAAACTGAGAATTCTGAGATTTTTTTTTTCTTGCAATTCCAAGTTTGTCACTTTTTTTTTTTCTTTTTTTTTCCACCACGTAATAAATTTCTCTCAATCATCTATATCTCATATGTATTCTCATATATCTCATAATTGGAGGGAAAAAAGACCAAATTGTGAGATATAAACTCTGAATTTGAGAAGAAGAAAAAAACCCGTCTCAATTAGCTTATTTTATTCTTTTATCCTGCGTTAGAAACAAGCTTCCATATCTTACAGACAGAAGTTTGTAGATTTGAAATGCTAGATCAATAGCAGTAGTGCTGAAGATAAAGACAGTCAGTGTTGTGTTTCATACAGTACATCCACTAAAAACCGCCAAACAGACACTTGATCTGATAGTGACGTTCAGACGTTTATAAGCGCAGCTGAAGCTGATGGAGTGTAAATCTCACCTGTCTCTCCTCCAACAGCTGACCATCACCTTCAACAACGACACCTTCTACATCAAGCTCCCGGAGGGCACCATGATGAGCTTCCCGAACCGCTTCGGCGACGACGTCTTCAAACACGTGCACGTGACGGGAGACGTGAAGATCAGCAGCATTAAGGTCAACTGAGCAGGCTGTGGTTCCTCGTGTGTCAGACCTCACTCCACTGAATGTACCAAAGAAAACCAAAGAGTGTCAAATAAATCCACTGACAGAATGTGACTCGCTGTTCTTCTGAGTGTTCTTTGGGTTTGAGGCGGTTCTCTTTCAGTGATGATGAAGCTGCAGCCCTAAAAATGTCAAAGTATTAATATAACGTCAGAAATTAAGTGATTTAAGAAATTAAATTAAATTAACTTTTAAATTCTAACAATGTTGTAGTTTTGGAAGTTACAGATTCATAGTTAATTTAGAAGGTATTCATTTTGAAATCAATTGTTTTTATGATGAATTATAATGAACAGTAACTGTCGAAACTAACAAATTCAATGAGAGAGAGAAAGTGAGTGAGACTTATGCAATAAAGATGTCTGTGATGCAAGATATCTATATAACACAGCATTCTAAAAAAAAAGTTAAATAAATGAAAATAAAATAAATGCATGCAAAAAGTCAAAAGTAGGCTTTTTCACCATCCGCGGCAAAGTACATACAGCAGAAGAATGCAAACTGTGATAAAATCACTAATAGTGTACAGTGACTACAAGTGACCCAGAATACAGCCGAAAAAAACGAACTGATAAAAGATTCCTGTGAAAAGAATCTGAAATGTTGATTTAGCAGACGAGGAAGCTAAACGCTATCAGACTGAGACTGTGTGATCTCACATCTGTCAGAAAACTCCTCGATTCAGAGAATCATTTAGGTATTTCGCTGTGCTAAACTCAGAGCAACAGGATCTTCAAGATCATTTACAGAGCGACTCGAAAAGACCGAAGCAGGAACTGAGGAATGTGACGGACAGAAAACAGATTCCACACACACTCTCACACACACACACACACACACACACACACACAAACTGTGCCCCCATAAGAGTTCACCAGCCAGTTGTCTGAATCATCATAGGTAAATTAACTTTATTTAGCTTGAACATTTTACTAAGCCTCTGAAGAGAAAATAAACTCACTCATAAAACACCTGCATGAATACACTTTATAAGCTCACAGGTACAAAGAAATAAAAACTAGCACCATAAAGACTGTCTATCAGTGTAACATTCAACACTAGAGCTACACATACAGACTCAGACTATATAGAGCAGCATTTATCTGGACCAAAACCAGGATTCAGATCCGATCTGATGGGTCACAAACAGCAGTTAAAAACAATGATAAATGCAGATAATAAAATATTAACCATTAACCAGTGAACTCACTACATAATAATGTAATCATAGTGAGCAGTACATGTATAGATAACTAATATAACACCTTATCAACTTTTAAAAGGGAAGAGAAAACACTTCCCAATTCTCATTATCTTCTGCTGTTGATGTCAAAGGTTTACTACGCTACAGTAGTTCTGCACAAATTCATCTGTTTACTTGATTACATGGTGAATTTTAACATGAATATTAATATACAAAAATTAATATTAAGTCACTATAATCTGTAGGTTAATCTTCCTGAAGAGTCAAACACTGACTGAGACGCTTTCACAACATTGATCTGTTTGTTTGAGCAGCCCATCTCGTTAACTTCTGAATCAACCAATCATGTGAGCCTGGGGTGGGGCTATCTTTCTGGCTGACCAATGACAAGTGAGGGGGGAGTGTTTGAGAAACCTGTTCGAAAACAGTCATTATTTTTGCAATAATGTTGCGCTAGTGGTGCAGAAACGACACATTTTTTGTTGCTTTTGTATGATGAACAGTTTTAGTAATGTGAAGTCAAGTGTAAAATACAGAACCGAAGCAACACCAATAGAAATCTCAAAACAGTGTCCGGTTGCATAACCCTCTTACACTGGTCTTTCAAGATAGTCATGTCATGTTTTACTTTAAGACTGGTCATAACTTTAAGTCAGTTACCTAAAAACGTAGATTGGGCTTATTTGATTACCACTGGACTAACTGCTAGCTGGAAAGACTAGTCCTTAAAACCCTCCGAGCCTCTACATTTGTGGGTCACACATGGTACCTTCGCGGTCAAAAGTGACTGAAGCCTTGAAATGTTTTTTTTTTTTTTTAAGGAAAATCAATGTAATGCATTTTTATTCAATAATATTTTTTGAGTATTATTTAGAATTTTGGAGGGATTTTATAATACTATGCAATATTTATAAAATTTGTATGTGCATTTTTTTCCATTACATTTTTTCCATATTTTTTCAAATTTCCTATTCATTTCCCATGTCGTTCTTTTTTGACCGTGAAGGTACCAAGCATCACTCTTTATTTTTTTACATTTAACATATCCGTATCATGCCCATTCATTTTTTTTTTTGCATGTTCACATAGCTAATGCGACAAAAGCCACCAAGTGTCATCTCATTCAGATGAAGCAAAAAATTTAAAAATTCAAAGTGTAACATTTAAGTGACCGAAGAAGCCCAGAGGGTGAAGACACAGTCTTTGCATAGTGGCTATGTTTATGCAACTGCACCCAGAAGTTATAACTCTCAGATCTCTCCTGAACTCATCCTACATGATCCTGGATGGCGTTGACCCCCGCGGCCGACCCCTGGTCCCCTCGACTCGCCCCTGATGACTGACCTCTCTGGGCCAGGTAGTCACGGTAGTTGCGCGTCAGCAGCGTGTAAAGCAGCGGGTTGATGCAGCTGTTTCCATACGTCAGGCAGGTGACGAAGAAGTTGACGTAGGTGTGAGCGGCGGCCGACAGCGAGCGGAGCGACTCGGACGAGAAGAGCTTTGCTATCTGCCAACCCCAGAACGGCAGAAAACACGTCCAGTACACCACCACGATGCAGAAGATCATTCCCACCACCTTGTGCTTCAGTCGGCGCCTGCGAACGGACGACGAGGATCCGTGAGTCAGGTTAGCCTGGGCGGCCCAGTAATGCCGGGCGAGACCCGTGTAGAGTCCCACCATCAGCAGGCCTGGCAGGAGCATGCTGGTGAAGAAGAGCGTGGTCAGATATGCCTTGAAAGCCTCGGGGGTCCATGTTGGGAAGCAGATGCGTTTGACGAGGCCCACCGTACTGGGACGTCCCTCGCGGAGACGGATCATCACCATCATAGGGAGCGTCAACACGAACGCTGCCGCCCAGATTCCCAACGCCATCAGCCAGTGATTACGTGCGGTTGAGCGACGGGCTCGGAATGGAGCGGCCACGGCGCGGTAGCGCTCCAGACTCATGGCCACCAGCACAAATACGCTGGCATGCATGGTGAGCAGATCCAGACTCAACAGCAGCCTGCAGCCCATTTCCCCAAAGAACCAGTCGTGGGCGAAGTAGGTGCAGACTACGAACGGGATGGTGCCCAGATAGAGCAGATCCGCCGCCGCCAGGTTGAGGATGAAGACGTACATAGAGCCGGCGCGCCGTAACGTGGCCGATCGCATGATGGCGAGGGTGTACAGGTTTCCAGTCACACCCAAAATGCACATGATGACGAGGGTGGCACCCAGAAGCGGAGTGACCCAAACTACTCCGGCACTTCCGGCTGCGGTGCTGCCATTGGGCGAGTTACTCATCGTATAAAGATCCAGGAGAAATATCTCAATTCAAATGTTTCCTATAAAATGTTCCACTTCTTTATTGGCACCGGTAGCATTCATGGAATCTTTCCATTGCACCAAAGGTTCTTTAGATTATTAAAAGGTCCTTCATATGAAGAAAATTACGAACTGTTCACGGAAAAGTTCCCAAAGCGGTTCTTCTTTGGCATCGCTGTGAAAACCACCTTTTGGAACCTTTAGTTCTAAGAATGCTTGTGCGGCGGAAAACAGACCGAGAAGCTTCTTCAAACATCACAGCACCAAATGAACACTGAGCAACAGACTGACAAGTCCTAAACATACCCATGATCCAGCTGATCCAAAATAAACCTCCGTTCATGACCATACAGACGTTCCTCTGATGTTCTCCGCTGTGTCCAGCTCTTTGTGTTCGGCTGCTCTATGCGTCTTCGTTTCTGTTGTGTCTGCAGGTTTCTCTAGCGTCTGTCTCTTCTCTCTCTTTCTCTCAGGTGGGTGTGATCTGACTTTCAGCGTTTGAGCATCTCTGAACACCCTGGTGCCGTTTCACACGCCCCGATCATGAGCGGCACTCAATAATCTTCCATTCACACTCACATACAAACACACAACACACACACAAGCACTAATATCCTCCAGCTCACGCGAACAATCAAAATCAGACCTCAAACACACAAAGATAATCAGATCAGTACTTTATTAAAAAGCTGTACTAAACCCTGAGGGATCGTAATACTACAGTAAAAGACAATTCTGGCATCATTTAGTCGCCCTCATGTTGCTTCAGAATCTTCTTCTCTTGCAGTGTAGCTCTTAAATCTCATTTGTGGCCATGTGTATTTAAATATTCTGAGTGAACGGACATGTGACACACTACAACCAATGAGATTGGTTGAGGCATATTTCAGTCTGTTCGTCACACAAACCATCATATGACAGAAAACCTCAAATATACAGTGTCTATATAATATATAATCACAAATCTGGTTTTTGCTTCGTTATTGTGGGTTTTTTCCATTAATATTAATGGGAAAAAAAATATTGTAGCATGAAAATGACACTTATAAGGCTTTGGGGTTTTTTGAGGCTAAATGTGATCACTATAAACTGCGATTGCATGGAAAAGAGTAGCGTGAACATTCTGCTAAACATCTCCTTTTGTGATCCATAGAGGTAAGGAAGTCTTACAGGTTTGGAACGACATTAGGGTGAATAAATGATGATAGGATGATCATTTTTGGCTGTACTGTCCCTTTAATATGTGAATAAAAAGAGGTTCAGAACTAAAGAGTTGACTTTCACTTAAAAGCGAGTTGAAAATTGTTTAATAAATGTTCATGTGAAGGGTCAGATGTGAAATAACTCAATATAACCACTAGATAGAGCCTTTAATGCTTAAAAATCGGATTTGAAAAATCAGATTTGGTCACAAACGGTTCATCGAAAACGCAGACATGAAAATTTAATGTTAGGGCACAAAATACTCAACAGTTTCATGATCTAATGATACAGAATCATAGTACAGAATACATACAAATACTTAGTGTAAAACAACTTAAA